GCCGACCCGAGTTCAATTCCTCCGCCCCTCTCGGAGAGCCCGGCAAGCTACCGAGAGTATTCGATATGCCAGACACAGTAACAACAAAGTCTCCAATGGAGACGTTACTGGGCCCGCTCGAGCAAATCGACGATCAACGGGAGGGCCTTTACCTTTTACCTTACCTGGCAGTCAGGGTAGACTCCTGAGGGTACCATATGAGGTGCCGGGGATCGAAATCCAGGACGACCATGTGCAAATTAAGTGCCCACCCTATTTTATTGCTCTAGCCCTTCAAGTGACCTGTTTTTTTTTTTTTTCCTTTTTGAGTCATACCCAGCAATTCTCAGGATTACTCCTGGTGGTGCTCAGGAGACCCTATGTGATGCCGGGGATCGAACCCGGTTTGGACACATGCCAGGCAAATGCCCTGCCTGCTGTACTCTGTGCTCTGGCCCCTGAAATGACATTTTTTAAACTCTCTCTCTCCTTTTAACCTTTGCTTTTTACGGTCACATCTCATTGCAGACTAATGAGATTAACACTCAGTTTCTGTACGAGGCCCCTGCTTGGGACTCAGGTCAAAATCCAAACATCTAGAGCCAAAACTATACAACACAAAACCACAACAAAACAACAAAAAAAGACGCCACCCCAATATAGAGTAAAGTCTCCTCTTTTGCCATAGCCATTTTGTTATGGGCCATTTCATAGCCAGTGGTCCCGCCAACTTCCCCTCTTATTCACTGGCTTATTGCCCCCGTGGCGGCCAGGAGTGGCGGGAGTGAGTGGGCGGCCCCCCTCCTCGGCATGACAGAATAGGCTCTCAGAAACTGTGTCTTAGTAATTCGCAGGGAGACAGGCTCTCTGTTTTCCTATTATGCTGGGGCAGGAGAGCCTTTTACCTTGCGAAATGAAATTGTAACTACAGTGGGAAAACCCATCGCCCACATCCAGCGTTGGCTGGGGAAGAAACACTGGGTGGGCGGCATACCATGCCGGATTTTCTCATCAAGACGGAGCCTCTGCACCTAATTTCAGTTTCCGTTCCCCTTACTCTCTCTGGTCTTTAAATGACCACCGTCCCCTGGGTCACATCACTCTAGCCTCCAGGGTGGATGGGGGCGATTGGGGACTCAATCCTAGCTACGAAGTTGAAATGCTGCCCGGTGTAGAGTTGATGTTTCTGCTAAAATCTGGTAGCTGGAGAGATCGTACGGTGGGTAGGGTCTTGCCTTGCACGCAGCCAGCCCAGGTTCCATCCCCGGCACCCTCTAGGGCCTCCCGAGACCCACTAGGAGTGATCCCTGAGCACAGAGCCTGGAGTGAGACCTGAGAAACCACCAGGTATGGCCCCAAAATTCCAAGGGGTGTAGGGGGTGGGATCGAAACCTATGGGAGGGTTGATGAGATGTCCATTACACCCGGTAGATGGGAACTCCTTCTTTGACTTTTTAACTGAGTTAGGAATATCGGCAGAGAGATTCACCGGAATATTAGAGGAAATGCCTTTCTTTCCTTGGTAACAGGCTTTTATCCCGTTCGTACTGAAAACCACCACCGTTCGTTGTCAAGCCTCCCACCCCCCCCCCCTTTTTCTTTAAAGTTCCTGGGTTTAATGTGCCCCTTTCGTGGGCATGGATAAGCCTGATCAAAGGAAAATACGATCCATGGCCATAAGACCTTTAGAGACCGAGAAAAGACTTGAGCAGGGTGAGTGTCCGTGGCGCTGCTGAAATACAGAATTAGCTCCTCCAGCCCATCGTGACCCAGAAAGGAGGCCGGTGCTGCTGTCAGCTTAAGTTGGAGGTTTTAGAGGCATTAGGAAACGTGTCACCGGGAGCGAGGACAGCAGCCGTTCCGGGGCTTTTTCTATAGTCAGTGTTTCGGCTTTTGTTTCTCTAGTGCTGTCACGTGTGCTCAATATTTGGCTTCCTTGGCCTGTGCCACGTGATCTCAGTCTCTGGGTTGAGCTATTCCATGAGCGAGATGGGGACAGAGGTCACGGGCAGCATTTTATAGACAAGGAAGCTGAGATGCAAAGACCTAAGGTCTGCTGAGTCTTGGTGGACCCCGCTTTAGTTTCTGCACCTGTCTCTTGCGGCTTCGTCTAGTAGCATCGTGACATCCTTGGATGCCAGCCCTTAACCACGCCTGGTGTTGCAGGGGCAGGGAACTTATCCTGGGCTTGCCCTCTGCTCTGTTGGTGCCCACGTTCAGTTAGGCATCTGACGAGTCTGGATGGACCAACAGAGGAAATGTGGCTGAGTTGGTTAAATGGCCGCACGATCCAGCAAGATCTTTGTTTTTTCCTTTCACTTTAATGACTTTTCAAGAGAAGAACTACGGAGGTTTCTTAGGTGAGGAGAATGAGGGAGAGTGGCCAGTGGTTTTGTTGTTATTATTGCTATACTTTTTCCTGGAATTTTTAATCACTCGTGCTGGAAATAAAAGACAGCTCTTTCCCCTGTGGGGCCGTGGTCAGCCTCCGGAAGCTACCTGATACTGGTTCTATTTAAGTCTGGCGTCCGCCCCTGTCTGCTAGTATAGCGTGTGGCGACGGAGACGCTGCTCAGGAAATCAGAGAGGCCCTAGCTCTTTCCTGACCACCTCAGAGATCTTTAGGCGAGTTGCTCAAGTACCACGAGCTCTCTTATCCAGGGGCCGGGGACATGTGACAGTGCTGTGGTGGGGACTGAATCGCAGTACCCTGAATACCCAGGCGTGAACGACCCTTCAGAGTGGGGGCTTTTCTTTCCTTTCTTTTTTTTTTTCTTTTTAATTTTTTTTTTAATGTAGGAGTACTGCTATTTATTCAGCCATTGATTGAGCTGATTGAAGCAGCCATGAACTCTGCGTTACTTTTTTTTATTAAAAAATTTTTTTTCATAAAGTTGTTCACAATAATTGTTTACATTCAATATTTCAATACTAATCCCACCTTCCCACCATCATCACTTTGAAGCTTCCCGCCACCACCCCAGCCTGCCCCTTAGGCAGATGTGAAGTAATCTATTTTGTGTTACTTGCCATGAATAGTATGAGGTGTCACACAGCCGCAAAAGTGGCCATGCACTCCTAGAATTCTAAAATTTTTAAATATTTGGGGTTTGGAGGCATCTCTGTGGCGTGCTGCTCTCTTGAGATTCATTTGTGAGTCTCTGAATCATGGCCATTAATGCACTTAAATGATGCCCAGAGGCAATTCTTGGGTATGACTGCCAGGAAACCCGGAAGCGTGGGGAGATGGGGGAAGGTCGCCCATCTGTGAAGCCTGGAGTTTTCAGTCACTGGTCCCGCATACCTGGTTTTTTTTAGCAGGTTCATTCTCCTGTGTGAGGGCTCGGGAAGGTCACCTGTGAGTGTGGCGGCGATTGGGTTCTGGAGGTTTTGCGGCTGCCTGGGCTCATTTGGGATACACCTGCCCCGGAGTTGGGGGGTTTCTGATGGCGTCTGCCACCGTCCTTAGGGAGACACCTAGTTCCCACTTGGCAGGTGTGGCTTGAGGCTCCTTGGTGGTTTTCTTGTCTTAATCAACTCAGACAGTGTGTTGGGGTTTGCTGCATATTGACTATCTTGCTCGGTCTTTAAAGACTACACACAAAGACACACACACACACACACACACACTCACACACACATAAATCCTTTAGGGTATTTATCCACCTGATAAATACCCTAAAGGATCTTACCACATGACCATGAGGCCAGACAGTCTAGAGGAAGAAAATGGACTTTGGAACTTTTACCCCCTGAGATGTTCATCAGATACCCGGAGTGGAGCTGGCAGTTAGCGAGTCCCGTCATCCCGCCTCCCCCCTGCTCCCTGCCCCTCCCCCTACACTTCCGCAGCTCTTACCTTCCTGGAGTTCGAGTTTGACTTTCCGGCTCTCCCCTCGACTCCCCTCCGCCTCTCCTTTCCTCCCCACATGCTCTTTAGACTGGTCATCCCTGGCATCTCCCCTCTGAGGCTGCCCACCCCCGTCTCCACAGGCCCCTGCCCTCTACCCAGCCTTCTAGAATGTCCCTCCTAATCTCCAGCTGCCTGTGACCCTTTCCCCAGTGGTCCCTCGTCCCCGTCATTTATATTCCTCATTTGTTCCACGTTGTTCTTGCTCGTGGGTGCCTTGGATGTCCCTCTCCTGTTTCACTGTTGAGTGAAAGTGAGGCCCAGAATGAAGAATGGATCTGCCTCTGCCGTCGTCAAAGGCATTTGGTAAATGTGGATTATTAGTGCACGTGGATTATTATTCCCCACAGGCCTTTGGTAAATGCAGATTATTAAGCTGCAAGTGCGGGGGGGGGGGGGGGGGGCGGGGTGGAGACTTAATTCTGCCTTCCAGTGTCCGGGTGTGGATTTCCTTTCCCTTTGCGTTTCATGTCGTCCTCCCTCTCGCCCTGTGCTACCCGCCCTTTTTCTCCTCCTGGTACTTTTTCCTTTGCTGTGGGCCAAAGCAGTCAGATACCCAGGGAAAGGGAAGTCGATGAGGTCTGCAGCGGCCCTGACTGACCCCTTCCCTCTGCCTTTTCCCCACCAAATTCGGCCTGCTCGGGCCTCTGCAAGCTCCCTGGTGAACACTCGCCCTCTCAGTCTCAGAAATCATTACTGCCTCTGAAGGTGAACTGACTGCCCCAGCTGCCTGAGCTGATGCAGAATCCCGAGCATTTAACTGGCAAGCTGGGGTGAAGGGTGCTGGCCCATTTCTCCCCTCCCCGCAACGGCCACCTCTCCAGTGATCGGTTGGAAGTCTGGCAGCTTCTGGAAGCAGCAGTGAGCCTGGGGGGTGAGTCGCCAGGGAGGCAGCGAAAGGGAAGAGACGGTGAGAGCCCATTGGTACCGTTGAGGGCACCAAGTGTGAGTCGAGCACTGTGGGAGGAACTTGAACCGCGCCCAGGGTGCTACGTTCAAGGGAGAGGTTGCAGTAACTGAGGAGGAAACGGAAGAGAGCCAGGGTTGCGGGGAAAGGGAGGTCTGTGGGATTTGACCGTGTGTGTTTGAGGCCCTTAACGTGTTTCCACATGTGTCCATCGCGGTGGTTGATCTGCTCCAGGAGTTAACGGATATAGACACCCTGCATGAGAGTGAGGAGGGGGCGGAAGTCCTCATCGACTCTCTGGTAAGTCTCGCGGTGAGCCTGGGCCAGGGGTTTGCCTTGCACGCAGCAAGTTCCATTTCCAGCGTTCTCCAGTGTCCGAACCCTGCCAAGAGTGGTCCCTGAGCACCACCGGGTGTGGCCCCCAAACCCAAATTAACAAGTAAATCTGGTGATAGCAAGCCTAATTGCAGAGGCGTTGTTGGCAGCGTTGTTGGCAGCGCTGCCGTGGCGTTGGGCCGGTTTCAGGGCTTGGCTGAATGGGGAGGGGGATAAAACAGTAGACGTGTCCTCAGGGCCGGAGCAGCAGTGCACCAGACGGGGCGGGTGCCTTGCACGAGGCAGAACCGGGTTGCGCCCCCTGCATCCCATATGGTCCCACACACACCACCAGGAGTAATTCCTGAGTGCAGTCAGAAGTAACCCCTGAGCATCGCCGGGTGAGGCCCCAAAACAACAACAAAAAGATTTTAAAAAAAGAAGTACCACTCCCGGGTCCTTTTATTTCTTTGTGGCTGCTGCGTTAGTAAGGGGCTGCAGAGGCCCCGGCCCTGTGGACGAGGACCCTCTCCTGGCCGTTAACTGCCCTTATTCCCATTTCTGGCCCTGAAGCTGGGAGGGGGGAGGCAGGAACGGCTGCTTCCAGGGCTCGAACCCAGGTTCTCTCCACCTCTGTGCTTTACTTCCCCCCAACCTCCCAAGCTATGTTCCTGCTGACCTTGACCTTTGTGTTGAGTTCTCAGATTTCTTTGCTTCCTCACCCGTGTCATTGTGTCATTGTCACATTCAAGCGGAGCCCAGGGTGTCGGAAACCAGAACAGTCTCCCTGGCTCACCCCTGGAGTAGCTTCAGCTCCCCGCTGCGACCCACAGCCCCTGGCCCGCCTCAGAGGAGAGCCACAAATGCAGCGTCTCTGGAGGCTGGCCTCTGTTCAGCCCCCGCTGCTTGCTCGAGTAAGCCAGTGTGCGCTATGGTGGGTGCTGGCCAGGGACGCTCTAGTCCCACCTCCCCACCCCACACCCCCCAGGAGGCACCCTCCCACGAAGCCGCCCGCCGCCCCCAGGGTCTGCGGCTTTCTTTCCTCTGCTGTCCTCGATTTTTCCACTTGCTAAAATGTTCACCTCCCTCCCGCCCGCCCTCCTGTCTAGCCTTGGCCCATGTGCCACGCTGTCTGCTGGCATTTGGTGGGACGAGAGGGGCAGTGGCCCCTGGCTTCGAGGGCTGGCTCTCACAGAGAGCGAGGCTTCTGTCCAGCAGGGCCATCTGTGATGGGGCATGATGAAAATGCCTCGCGCTGTTTTTCTTCCAGGCGCCTTTTCCTAGAGTGAACTGGCACATGTTTTTTTTTTTTTATTGTTTTTTGTTTGTTTGTTAAAAAGAATTAAGGACCTTTCTGTTCCCTTTGAGCACTGCAGAAAGAGGATGAGGCTGGGGTGTTGTTTTGTTCAGAGGCGCCTCTGGAGGCAGCCTGTGCTCCTCCGCCCCCACTGGTGTCCTTTGTGCAGGCTTACCTTCCAGGGGTTAATTGCGGTGGCCCTGGGTGAGCCTTCCCGCCCGGGCCCTGGCCGATTTTAATTACCAGCCTTCCCCTGTGTGAATAGTGAGCGGGCCGCCGCCTGGAAAGCCCAGAAACAGCCTTCACACAAAAGCCCCCTTTGTGCATCCCGTGTTGCCAAACCCACCAACAAATGCTGAATCTTGCAGGTTTCATTGTTCAGAAAGGAGCGGTTCATCCTCAGCCTGGAGAGCCCTTAGAAACTGCCGGAAGGGGGGGCTACAGGAGGGGGAGGAGTTGGGGGGGCAGATTCCGTTGGTTTTGTTTAGGTTTGGGTTATTTTGTTTGTTTGTTTTGGTTTGGGTTTGTTTTTAATGATTTCAAGATTTGCAGCTGATGGGACTCACAGACAGTCAGACACCCCTGGGTGCTCATTCGTCCGCTCTCAGCTTGTCTGCCACCGAGCCGCCCGTAAAGATCAGGGTGCCGAGTCCCCGGGCGGCCTCCCCTTATGGGTCGTGGCTGCATCCAGGAAGGAGTTGGATAAGTGTCCTCTTAGGACACGGGGTGAATTGTCCTCTGAGTTTTAATCTGGGGGCCAATATGAGGCCTGGAGCTGCCTGGGCGGAGGCGAACAGGCAGGGGGGCGGGATTTATTGTGCCGTGCGGGTTGCGGTTATTGCCTGGGCCGTTTTCTTCCCGTTGCAATTCCTGAGCAGTGGATGAGCTTGTTGGGGGATGGGGGTGGGAGGGACAGTGCTGTCCTGGCATTCTGGGGTGGGGGGGGGCATCTTTGGGGTCTAAGAGTTTGGGTCATCACCTCTGCTGTTACGTATTGCTCCCTTCCCTCACCTCAGAATGGGTAAATGTTTATTTCTGTTTCGCAGCAGCAGTTCCTGTGGTAGCGGGAGCAATGGGTAGACTCACTTTGGGGTAATTTTCTGAGAACTTGGCAGGCGCCTGGCAGTTCAGCCTCCGTTCAGCCTGGCACACCTGGCCTGGCATATCCCCCCCGCATCCCAAGAGGTCTCGGCAGACTCCTCTCCGCACCCCGTGCTCCTCAGCGCTTTGGACGCACCGACCCAGGTCGTGTGGGGTCACAGCCATCTTTTCATGTTTTTCTTTTCCAAGTTGTGTCTCTGTCACACCCCTACAGTATGTCCTAGGGAGAGTTACCTCCCCTCTCTGTGACTGGCCTCATTTGTGAGAGAGGGGCCGCGGCAAGCAAGAAAGGAGATATTTCAGATAGCTTTCTTTTTTTGATTATTATTATTTATTTATTCATTTATTTATTTGTTCTTTGGGTCACATCCAGGGTTGCTCCTGGCTCTGCACTCAGGAATTACTGAGACCGTATGGGATGCTGGGGATCGAACCTGGGTCAGCCGCTTGCAAGGCAAATGCCCTACCCACTGTGCTATTGCTCCACCTCTCAGGTAGCTTTAGAATCGTGTCTATGACAAATACCGCCTAGGTGTTGGCCATCATCTTCATGCAGGCACGATGCCTGGCACATGGCAGTCACGGGGCGAGTGTCAGGTTCCGATGGCCGATGTGCCGTCTGCCACATGGTAAAGTGTTAGCATTGAGTTTAACCAAAACGGAATTTTCCCCCCATTTCAACAGATGTCTCCCAAAAAAAGAAAAAGCACTTGAGCAAATGCTAAAAATGAAAGCAAGAAACATTTGGCGGGCTAGAGTCTAAACAAGACGTGGGAAGACAGAGGTTTGGTCTTTTAGAAGAAAAACAAGAATTGTAAGCAGAGACCCTGTGGTGATGAAGCCAGATGGACTGCTAAGGGCTGTTGTGGGAGGGGGCTGACTCCAGAATTGAGGCGGAATGGGTGTCTGCGGGGAGGAGTTCAGGAGGGCATGGACAGGGTCGGCATTCCCCTGCGGAAGGATGAAGTCGCCCCTGCCGAGGGAAGTGGCAGCTGTACACAGAAGGACTTCACAGGAGGCCCCTGGACCCAGGCTCACCCTCAGGGAGCCCTGCTCAAACCCCGAATGCTGGTTGGCCAGGCCAGCTCGCTGCCCTGAGGCCCACTTGCCCACAGCTGTTTACTGAGCTCATAGCAACAGGATTCGAAATCTAGAAACTGGGTATAAACCAAGTTCATACCGGGACCGGCAGAGATGCTTCTGGGGGGCACACGTGAGGGGAGGCGGTAGATACACGAGAGGAAAAGGCGATCCTCTGTCCCAGAGAGAATAAAATAAACAATACGGGCCGGAGCGATAACACAGCGGGGAGGGCGTTTGCCTTGCACACACACAGCCGACTCGGGTTCAATCCCCGGCATCTGATATGGTTCCCCAAGCACTGCCAGGAGTAATTCCTGAATGCAGAGCCAGGATACCCCTGAGCATGACTGGGTGTGACCCAAAAAGCAAAAAGCAAATAAAACGCGATGTGCTGCCCACGTGGGAAATCCAGGGGCCGGGGGGATGCTGGCATCTGGAAGAATCCAGCCACTCAGAGTGACCCAGGGCCAGATGAAATTGAGTCCGGGACCTGCAGCAGAAATGAGCCAGCACATGGGGGCAGGAGCGTGAAGGCCCTTCTGTGAGCGCAGAGCTGTGGGCAGGGGGTTGGAAAGGGCCAGGCGGACCCCAGCGTGCCCCAGGAGGCCTCGGGAACAGGCGTGGGTCAGATTTGCTGCCATGGAGGACGGGCCCAGGTTAGCCTGACGTTTAGTTCTCCTCCTTGATTGGTGCCTTTGTTGGTCTGTGTCAAAATCACGCTGGTTCACGGGCTCTGTGCTTTAGGGGGAATGTTCCTCTCCCCGTCTGTGAGTGTGTCACCACGCCAGGGCACAGCACGGAGTACCACAGTCTCCCCACCACTGCCTCTGGGCCCCACCACCCTCTCATCCCCCTCCCCCCATCCCCAGAGGGCCCCTCTGCTAGCCTCAGTTCTGTGCTCACTTTGGGTTTCTGTTATTCGGAGATTTCCCTCATTTGTTTTTCCATTGCTAGCGTTAGTGTGTGATTGTTAATGTGTGATCATCCTTCTGTGTCACCCTGCCCTGCCCTCCCTGCCCTCCCCCCCCCTTTGGTTGTCATCCTTGCTCCTCCGCAGGGTGGGGGAGGCCACCCCTCGGCTCTGGTGTTCACACACACTTGCTGCCCTGTGCCTTTGTGGTGTCAGGGCCCCAAACAGCGCTGCCTCTTGGCTCACACTCAGCATGTGGGGTGCTGTCAGGAACCTGCCCCGGGTCATCCCTGGACCTAATGTTTCAGCTGGGCGGTGATGAACCCGAGGGCCTAGGAGAGAAGCTTTCGTCTCACTGGGCTCTGGCACCAGCTGTCAGTTCTGGCCGTGTTCCTTGGAGGAATCCCCAAAACGCGCTGCTTGACTCACCATTGTGGACTTGGATTTTTTGGTTCCCGCTGGAGTGATAGCACAGCGGTAGGGCATTTGCCTTGTGCGTGGTTGGCCAGGCCGAGTTGAGTTTGATTCCTCCACCCCTCTCCCAGCAAGCTACCGAGAGGATCTCTCTCACCCGCACGGCAAAGCCTGGCAAGC